TGTAAAGCTGGTGACATTCCTGATATCCAAGCTGCCTTTGCAGCGGAGAGGGCGCTGCCAGCAACCTGGCATGCAAGTACTTACCCGTGGGTTGATGTTCTGCTGTGCTGGGGCTCCTCATTTACAGCTCTGTGGGGTCTCGCTGTGCACTGGGGTCCTCCAAGCCTTGTTCTGCCTCCACTCCCCAGCTCGGGCATCTGGCTTCTCTATGAGACGTGCAGAAAGCTTTGTGTGCCCCAAAGCATGGCTTTCTTCTATGAATAGACATTGGACTAGGTGATTGTTGTAGGCCTCTTCCAAATGAAATATTCTATTCTATATTAGGAGGACAAAAAGAGATGATAAGAACTTGTGGCAGACCATCACAGCTAGAGCTACAGCAGTATCTCGTCAACTCCACTGGTTATGTTTGTTGACTGAAGAGCAAAAGGAGCCAAACATCCCCTGATGGCTGATGTCCCCACGCTGTTTTTCAGCTCTTGCAGTTAGCTCCTGAGACCCGGGAACAGCACCCAAAGCACAGCCCTCCTTCCAGGTGATCTTGGCTTGCTTGTAACCACAGGGGAACCTCTCAGGCTGCAGCAATCAGTTACATACATGCAACCAAAATGCCGTAAAAATGAGAAGAAACAAACCTGCAGCCAGCTTGGAAGCATCCTGTGACACAGCAAGAGCAGACGGGAAAGTGGGGTGATGCTGCTCTGCACTCGGACTGAGAGGAGTCTGGGCTCTGCATGCCCCGGACCAAGGCATTGGACCAAGGCAATTTACCTCACCCCGTATAAGAAACTGTGGTCCAGAAGACCTGTGTGGGAAAGAGGAGATTCCCAGCCTGAAGATGCAGCAACGGGTCATGAGTAGAGCATGAAGTTTGACAGATTGAGCCTCGAATTGCAGAGTTATTTTTTAGCCGTTTCAGGAGCACACTTCCAGGATCCCCATCTGAATAGCAGGGTGACTTCCCTGTAAGTGGAGCCATTTGGGTCAGGACTGAAGATCTGTCTCCAAGACCAAGTCCCCCTCCAAGAAAAAGGGGACACACTGCACGCTTGAGTTGCCAACACCCCACAGCCTTGGCTCCAGTCACACAAAGCAGGCAAGTACCTGGACCTCCTGCAGATGTAGTGCCTCCACCACTCTGACAATAGGAACATCACCGATGACAGGAATTAATACAAGTGTGCAAAGTGGGGAGAAGTTCCTCCAGGAGTTTTCTCACGCAGGCTGTCTATGGTGAGGAGTGCACCAAAAGAGAGAGCACCAGCGTCCAGCACAAAGGTAAGGTGGGAAGAGCTCCTACTTCTAACCTGATGGTTTCATCTTGCAACCCAAACCTTCCGAAGATCTGGTGGGTGAGGAGGGTTCGGAAGGAGATGAAGGGAGTCACTGCCAGCCCCCCTCACTGGTTATAACTGCTCTGTGCCAGCCCGGTGGGAAGCCTGGTGTCCCTGTGCCAGCCTTGGGGAATGGACCAGCCAGGTTGTGTACAACAGGAGAGCCTGCAGCAGCCTGCCCGTCCCTTCTTGATACTCTGCCACCAACAGCCCGCAGATGTGCTGCGTCCACGGAGAGGGGACACGCACCAGGCAGCGGCTCACGGGACATAGTCTCTCATGAGACCCCTCTGCAGTGCTGCCTCCAGCTCTGGGGCCCCCAACATCAGAAGGATGTGGACCTGTTGGAGCAGGGCCAGAGGAGGCCATGGAGATGACTCATGTAAGGAGAACAGGAAGTGAGGGGATGTGCATAGGACCCAGAACAGGGCTACAAAGGTGAAATCAATTATCTGGTGAACTGCCGCACAGAACACAGCTCCTAACAGGCAGTCCTCACCGGTACAGCGGCTCTAGCAGAGACCTTTAGGTAGCTCCTCAGCCTGGTTAACCCCAGCGGGACAGTAATCAGCAGATGCAGGTGGACAAAAACAGAGAGGCAATGCTGGGCCAGTCCAATGGGCAGAAGTTTCAATATATGATGAGCACTGTAAGGTCCGCACTTTCCAATTGTGGACTCAGCAGCCAGGGTTTGCTATGTAGAGGAGGACTTGAGGATAGAGGCAGTGACTGTTCCAATAGTTAGGGAGCTAAACCTTTATTAGCTGGATGTTTTTGCTGTTTGTAAAATTCTTTTCTGTTCTCTCCATTTCTGGACTCTAAGAGATTTTTTTTTGAAAACAGCATCATTGAGATAATGAGTGAATGATGCTATTTAGCATGCTAGGATTAATGCACAAATGATTGCAGAGTCATAAAGTCCATCACAAGAAAGAATCAAGCACAGAGAACAGCACAGGTGAAATATTTGACCTTTTAGCTCAACTCAGGGCTGAGCCGATGAACTTAGACTGTGATAAGAGATGGACAGCTGATCTAATCAGCCTCTTCTCCTCAAGGATGCCTTTTTCTAGAACAGCTTCACAAAGCTAAACTTGTCTATAGTACGCAGTGAATGATCCCAGCAATTATCTTACCATAGCCAAGCACGGGAACAGTACCAACAGAACTGGAGGAGTGTCCAGGGAGTCAGTGTCTATGACTAGAATTTTCTCATAAAGAAGAGTTGTTAGCTGTGCCATCACTTGCAGCTAATCCCAAAGCTACTTCCAAAGGATAAAACTATAAGTGGTTGGAAACAGCGAGGTCAGATCTCCCTCCAGACACAGGCCCACAAACAGGGTTTCCACGTTGCTGTGGGATAGCCGGACTTCACACCAGCCCTGAAGGGGATCCCAAAATGCTTCTAAGAGACAAGTACTCAAGTATTGTTTAGACCGTGTGGCAGAGCAGACCAGAACCTGCACAGATAACAAGTCCATGGACAGTGGGAGCTGCCAGGATGGGATTTTTCTTAGCCTTGAGCAGCTTTGCTTTTAGAGTTGCTTTATTTTTGTCCTTTATGGAGATCACTGTCACAGGAATCATCTCCAGGTGTTTCCTCTTCCCCATCACTAGCTGGGTCAGGCAGGGCAAACCTCATACCCCACACATGGGCTAGAAGACATTTTGGCTTTGAGCCAGGGTCAGTTCTAGAATAGCTTCAGCTTTTGCAGACAAAACACTGAAGTTGGGGCGGGAGTGCTTCTGTGTTTCATATAGAGGCAAGGAACAAGCAGCCAGCTACAACAGAGGCTGTATCATTAGGAACATTTTTAAAAACACCAGTAAATCAGAAAAACTTCTGAGAGTAGCTGCTTTGATCTAAAGACTCCTTAAAGTATTTGAAGTACTATAAAGCTCCAGACTGCACAGCTGTGGACTTTCCCTAAGCTAAGCAGCTCTGTGCATTTCCCCATTACTCCCCTTTGTTATTCCTTTCAAAAGTTGCTAAAAGTTTGCTAGAGGCTTGTTTCTGCTTTAGAGCAAGGAGAGAGAAAAAAAAAAAAAAAGAGATAAGCACAGCAGCGAGCCTTAGCACAGCTACTGATGAGTTCTGCAAGTCCCACGTGGGAGGTAGTGAACCTTACTCCCAGGGGAAGAGAAAGTTTTGAGTCAACACAGATATTCAACCAAAACCAGGTCATGGACGGGGGAGGAAAGCTGTACCAGTCAACCTGACCTGCACAGCTGCAGGTAAGGAGGGGGAAGTTTTCCACATACAGTCTCTGGAGAGCTGCAGGTCAAGGACAGTTCTGCCAAGATGCTCCTCAGAGGTCTTTGCTGGGCTGGGGAAGCAGATGCCACTTGCACCAGGCTGCAGCAGCAATGCATGCACAGAAGGTCAGACTGCTCCCGCACCCAGCTTTGGGAGGTCTGGCTCAGAGGGAAGCAGAAGCAGCATGGAAGAGTGGCTGTGACGAGGGAGGAGATGTTACAGGTGCTTCTCTCTCATGGCCAGCTGTTGTCCGCTGCAGAAGTCCCAGAGCAGACGTGGGCAACTCCGCACCTCCTCCAGCGGGACCGAGCAGAGCACAGCAGCTAAAAAGCTATCAGCACCCAGATCTACATCCTTCCCACCCCCAGGCAAACTCCTGCGTTTACAGATCCCACCACCTCCTAGTCCAGACCAGCAGCCTTGTCGTGTGTCTGTCCCTGCCCCCCCCAGACCACTTCTCCCTCCTCACCAGTACTTAACTTCAGTACCACAAAGCTGATTCAGAGGAATAACTTTATTATCGCGCCCACCCTTCAGGGAGTGAGAGCAGCCTGAAAGACCAGACACCAGAGCTCAGCCGAGGACTTTGAGCAAGCACTGCCAACCCAGCACACAGCTACTCGGTGAGAACAGACTGAAGGAGCTCCTACACCAGAGCAAAGACACACAGTATTGCCCTTCCTGGGACAGCAGGGAAATAACAGCCTCCACCAGCAGGTGAAAGTAGAGGCAGATATCACAGTCCAACAGCATAACTCATGCAGAGCACTTACTGGGGCGTGTGACCAGTTTAAACAGACAGACCCAAGTTACCTATGCCATACCTATACCAGCAACTCGTGTAGG